CCCCCCCCTCTCTTCTCCCTTTCGGAGTACCCTATAAACTTTTGCTCAGTCTTTGCCAGCATAGATATTGTACCAAAATTTGTGGAGTGCCATAATGTACTCAGGTACACTGTCCGGTCAAATCTGCACTATACCACCTCCCGGTCCTTAAGTTTCAAATACGACTGAACCAAACACTGGTCAGTACTATACTTAAAAAAGGGTCCAGGCTATCCAAAACGGAAGTTGGAACAGAACAAACTCGCTGATTTTTCGATTTCCGTTTCGCCGCTGATAGGTCAAGCTGGCCTTGTGCCTCTCCGGCCTTCCAGGTATGAGAAACTTTCAGATAAGTTTCGAGCTTGTCTAAAATTTAAGAGGATAGAATCGGGCCAAATTACCACGACAGTTTCGCTTAGTCACCGGACGCACATGCATCAGTCAATTTGTTCATTTTCACTTCCGTTTAGATAGCCTGGAACGTCCTGTTTGGAAGGTGCTCATTTTTTGCAAATTTTCAGGCAAAGCCGAGAGTGTGATGGATCATCTAGTACAAAACTTTCCTTCAATGTACCAAGAGACAAATGAAGTTTCAGCAGAACATTACAAGCACTACAAAGAAGACCTTGCTCTTGCTAAGGAGTTGAAAGTATGAGTCTTTGTACCATTGTATTAATTCTTGTAGCCAGAAACGTGGTCTTTAACTTCATATGTACTCTCTTGTAATTTATAGTTCACAACGCACCGATTTTCTATATCTTGGTCGAGAATTTTTCCTACTGCTGACAGAAAGACACCAAATATGGAAGCTGTCGCATACTATCGAGACTATATAAAAACGATTCGAGAAAATGGGATGGAGCCTTTCGTAAGTACATTGAAAACTCTTGGTATCACTGTGATCCCAAACATGCTGAAAATCCAGTGTTGCTACAGAACGGTGTTAGATTTTAGTAGGAGCTTTGGCTTAACTCAATCTCTTTTTCCTTACTGGCTCACCACAATTTAGAGTCCTGTAAAGAATGTATTCCTGTTGTTTGGTTTTAGGTCACGATGTTTCACTTCGATCATCCATATTCGCTAGAGGCAGAAACTGGAGGCTGGAAAAATAGAACAATGGTTGATAAGTTTCTGGAGTACGCAGAATTCCTATTCGAAACATTTGGCGATGATGTAAAATACTGGAGCCCAATTAACGAAGGCAACATGTACTGCATTTACATCCCACCAGAATTAGGGGCCTCTGGTATCGAATTTTACGACCCTCACACGTTCTACGAATGTTTACACAATACAATCCTAGCCCACGCTTACGCATACCGCCTATACAAAGAAAAGTTCTACAAAACGCAGCAAGGTACTGATACAATATTGTATTTTAAGTCATTTGCGTGAACACATTTTGTTGCTCCCGTTACACTTTCTTATACTTTATCTCTTTACTGTCTGACTTAGGAAAAGTTGGCATATCTGTTTTAATGTGGCCAGCAACTCCGAACACTCAAGACTACAAAGACAGTATTGCTGCAGACATATTTAACAATTTATTCTCTGGAACTGCTGTGGATCCAGTTGTGCACGGAGACTACCCTCCCCTCAGCCGGTACTTGATTGACAAACGGTCAAACGAGATGGGCCTCCAAAGATCAAGACTTCCACATTTCACTTCAGAAGAAAAGACATTGTTGGCTGGTGGTAAGCACTCAATCACCATACCAATAATAGTTGGGCAGCGTCGAGCAATGTGACGCCTCCCCATTTACGCGACGCATTTTCTGTTACTCCAGGCAGTCCAGCGACTGATTTCATTGCACTTAACCTGTACAGTGGTTTTAAAGTGGAGTACGTTAAAGACGCATCTGATCACGGGGTGACTCCCTTGGCGCAGGAGTTGCTTCAGCCCGTGCTTGACGACATGGAACATGTAAAACTGATATCTGGAGGTACCTTCGATTCGGTGAGTCGTCTGGTGTTTCAGAGCAGATGGTCCGACTGTTGACGTTAATGACGGAGGAAACCAAGGTTGTGTTGCTTAGCTCAGTAATATGGCATTTACTAGGCACCAAAAATATGAAAGTCAAACTCAAACTGGTTTAGTCCAAACCTGAAACTTTGCCATGCGTGAGGCAAAAGAGAGGGTCGAGCAGAGCACAGTGGGAATTCATATGCCCGAAGAATTTTGAAATCTGCATTGGTCGACAATGCCATGCTCAGGGTTGGACTATTTGAGAGCTAGGGTGAGACAGTGCTCTGGATCGGTGGGAGTCATTTGAGCCACGGGTAGCCCTTGGGAGGGGGTACACACTCTTTTAACGGTGTACCCGCGAGGGGGTGGGGTGCCGGAGCGCCTCTATGCGCGACGTGAACTAGACCCCATAGGGATCAGTTTGAGCCCCGGGTCGCGTTCCTCGGTCACACTGCTGCCGAGTAGTGAGGCTGCAAAGGTGCGGTACCCGGACGGAGCCGTTCTGTACTAGACACGAAAAGTCCCGTGCGCACCGGGTTAGCTTTGTCGCTGAACGTTGGGACTTTGCACACGACCTCTCTCATAATTATAATCTTTCGAAACAAAGACCGTTCGAACAAAAAAAAATGTTGGTGCGGGCTACCGCTTATGTAAATTTAAGCAAAAGAGCGGGCTAAAAACCGGCGTGAGAGTGAGAAAATGCGTCTCTAGGTTCTCTCGCCCTTCGGTCGCGGGCACAGACGACACTTACTATTGCTATGAAATAGTTACCTGCTCGTAGTAAGCCGAAACACGCGAGTAGTTTAGACAATGCGGATGTGTCCCTGTCAATAAAGCATTCAGGTCGATTCAGGTAAAGCTGAAATGCAGAATAATGCATGGAACAAGGAAACGGAAGTCAACATGTTAAAGCATAGCGATTTCCGTTTTCTTCTTCCCTGCACTCTTGGACGGGTAGCCACCAACTTCCTACATTCTAGTGGTACAACTATTAACCCGCGCCTGCGCCCCTCTGGACTGCCCATTGTTGTTGGCAACCGTGCCCGTCCGCCCGAGTGCCTCACCGGTACGTACCCTCGCCCGAGCCAGCACTCGGTCCCCTTACTGGGCAGAGCTGTGCGCGCGAGCCAGATTCTGGCTCGCGCTGCCTCGCGCAGTTTTGTGCGAGCCAGAATCTGGCTCGCGCGAACCTGGCACCTTCGGCAATCTACGGGTCCCTTCCAGAGTTGTGCGATTTTGAAGGGACCCTAAGATTGCAGAAGGCACCTGGCTCGTGCTGGCTCACACAAACTGCGCGAGCCAGCGCGCGAGCAAGAATCTGGCCCGCGCGCACAACTCGGTTTCTGGGTAGGACCACGCCAACCAGAAGGCATGTTTAGAGAAGTCTGAACACTGTGATCTAAGCAACGTTAGAGAAAGAAAGGTTAATATTTCGATTCAAGGGTAGTCTTTGATGCATTGTCAATAAAAAAAAATAAAAATAAAGTCGCAGCGACCAATGTTAGGACTAGCCGTAAACGTAAGCTATTCAGTCGTCTTCAAATTCCTTCTGAAGGTTAGCGGCAAAGTATACTTATTTATTTAATTTTCCGGAAAACCAGACTCGAGTGCCAATAATTTAAAAGTGTTCCTGGTTATACTCAAAAAGCTCTTTCTAATGGCACCAGTGCTGCCAGAAAAGTAGGCAAAACCCACCCAACACACAGCTGTGTGAAATAGTCGGTATCTACGCCTGCCTACTAGACAACATCTACACATTCGAGGTTTTGCCTAGTAGGCAGGCGTAGATACCGACTATTTCACACAGCTGTGTGTTGGGTGCACTGTAAGAAATCCTGTGCTAAATCATTGCTAAGACCACAGAACTGGAACCACACCTAAAACACAGTGCGGACTGTGGTGGGCTACACCACAGGGTTTTTCTGTTGACCGGCTCAGTCTGTGACTCGTCTATGGTTCGAGGCGTCTCTGTTCGTTCTTAGCTCTCGCTGATGACCCGCCGCGCTCCAGGAACCATATGCTGGAGGATTACGCCAATGTGTATCTTCGTGTGCCCGCGCGGAGACTGGAGATTTTTTGAGGGGGGGTTAAGAGTTTGGTCCTCCGAAGGGCCAGTAGTGTCCAAAGGCCTTGCGGCGAACGAGCCTTCGGGCTCAAGGTCCTCCATGGCCCTTAGAGCAGAAGACCTTCTCCAGCGAAACATATGAGCTTGAACTTAAACCATTTGAACCGTGCCAGCGCCAGTACTGCCTTTTATTACTAATTTTTCATCACACTATTTTACTGTGATTGTGAAAGCACAGAACTTTCGTGTGGTAGTTCTGTGGTTTATCACAGGATTGAGCACTGGCATACTGTGGTATCTCCGTGCTTCACACAGGATTGAGCACAGACAGGCTGTGTAATTAATTGACGCACTTTTTTCTGTGAAAATCCTGTGCTTTTTTCTGACAGTGTGGGTTTTGCCTACTTTTCTGGCAACACTGAATGGCACATAAGAGTGACTCATCGGCTCTGAGTCACTTTGCTTTACTATTACCGATGTTTACAATCAAATATTGTGTGCAATTTGTGGCCTCCATCGGTCACAGTCAATTTAGAGGCGCGCGCAGACGGGCGCGGCAGTGGCAGATTAACACAATGAAATAAAATTTGCCCAAAACGACAAAGAACACGTCTACAGATTTTACGGATAGTATTTTCAGTATCGGTCTCAAAGTTTAAGTTTCCGAGCACAACTAGGTTTGAAACTCGGGGGAAAATCACTTGCAAAATTTTCGTACACCTTTCCCCGTAACGCAAAACAGGTGCCAAAATAGTCACACAATAACCCGAAATACCGTGAAGTAACCGAAACGGCAGGAGATAGACCAGGACCCAAGTAATTTCCCCCTCGATGAAACTATAATCAAGTCGCAAAGCCGGACTGGCTACATAGTGCCCGCTCTACATTTTTGGAAACGGCAAAGTTGTATCAAGCGACAGGGGGTACTCATGGTCAAAATAAAGGAAGTGGCCCGAGGAGGCATTCAAAACATACGTTTTATGAGCGTTCAAATTTGCCTTAAGGGAGGCAGCCCGCGACACAGTTTTCACCGTTTTTCGCTCTTTCTCGCCCGTTTTGACCAAATTTCAGGCCGGATCTTCTTCACAGAAGCCCGCCCGCCTGGGCCTAGCTTCGTACATTAATCTCGTCTTTTCTTTTTCCACAATTTTACAGATAAAGATACGGCAAAGCTAGGGGCAGGTTTTGATTCAGAATGCGCTGTTTTAGGAGGGAATTTCTTTGGCAATTTAAGATTTGACGCCTCCTTGACCGTCTTTATGTATATAGGGTCATCTTCCCCGTATTGTTTTCGAAAAAACACTCTAGCGCCCAAACAGTGCAAGATACAGCCAAACGGACAAAAACTTTTGCCCAAAGGGTTCTACTTTCACGATTTACCACCTACCTTTTCGACCAACCCCTATTTCCTTGGTAACCACTTTCGCCCCCTTACAAGGGAAGGTTTTTAGGTGGTACACACCAATTTCGCTGGGCGCGATACATATTGCAGGGGACATCTGTAGATTAAGATTGGCACCAGTTTTAGCTGCCCATACTATGTTTTTCGTTTGTTTTGGACAATTTTTAGTAAGAAAACATCATAAAAGCAGCAAAAATGTGAT